TAACATATCATTATATGATACAGCCTTTTGCAAAAATTATGAGAATTGTTGAAATATCTAAATATCATAATATCAAGTGCATGATGGGTAATCCCGCGCGATTCCCTTAGTCCCTTGTCTTTGTAGTTTAGGGGTTTTTTTGGCGACAGACTTATCCGTAGTTCTGAACATTTTCTCGATGTCAACAATTATTCTAGCAAACCCGCGTGTTCCGGTCAATATATGGATATGGATATTATGATATTTAGATATTTCGACAATTCTCATAATTTTTGCAAAAGGCTGTATATAATTATGTATAATATAATAATGATAATAATAATGACAGAAACTTCATTTGTTTATAAATGCATACAGTTGTAAATGTCACTACGTATAGAATATTTTTTTAAATAGATTTTTTATTTTAGTGATTCTCTGGTCTCTGGGTTACACAAGAGCCCATTTCATTAGCATTTAGAACACAATAATAATAATATCAATAATAGAATTGAATTAAAATTACAGTTACTTGCATCAACTTGAATGCCTTTGCCTTTTAGACTGGCTATGCATGAGATCCCGGAAAGCTCTGGTTTACTGGAAGGTTGTGAAGGCCATATGGTCTTCACACACAACTTAAAGTTACTAGAAGATAAGAAGTACTACTTAGCTGGCCGCATGGTGGGAATGTCACTTATACATGGTGGGCCGGGTTTAAGCTGCCTAGAACCCATAATGTACAAAATGATGTGTGATGAAAGAAGCTGTCTAAACAATTTCGATATAAGTTTTTTACCAGACAGTGACATAATAGAAMCTTTAAGAGAGGTATTGTTTATGTTTGCTATTATAGTGTTAATAAGTACATGTATCTTTATTTTGTCTCTGTATCCAAAGTCTAAAGACACAATGATATATTCTGCATTATTAATATCACAAAAAAATGTGTTTTTGCAGCTCGAGTCTGTTAAATCACCGACTGAGTTCAGATGTTTTGTTGGTAAGAGGGGAGATTATATTGCTATGCAAGGCTATCCATCAATTTATCTTTCCAAAGAGGAAGATGCCAAAATCATCAAACACGCATTACTCAAGCAGTTCTTCAGTTATAGGTATGTTATTCTACAGGTACAGTGACCTGTTGGAGCCCACCAAAACTACCCAATTGTAAACAATAGAAAGTATATAATGACATATTAAATATCTTTCTGTTGGGTCTTTTACAGAATTTGTGCATATTTGTACAATAACTTAAATTTTTATGTCATTTCATTCAGTTTAGTGCTTACAGTGTATCAAAATTCTAAATAATTTTCTACTTTAGAATATCCTCAGAGATACAGCAGTTCAAAAATGGAGTAAATGATGTAGGAGGTCTATGGAACTTAATTGAAATGTACCCAGATGAATTTCAGYCACTCTTTACATATGTTCCCAGTGATGTTTCAAGATCATTGTTTAAATCTCTCTGTGAAGTTGAATGGAGTGCTGAAGGTAGCAACAAAAGACAGACTGAAGATGCTACAATATACTGTTGGGAAATCTTCCTAAAACAGGTCGAAGGTAAAATACATGCATGCATTTCGCATAATACTGGTCTATTTTTTAAGTGCTTGATATTAGCAATCTTTTTGACTAATAATTTAACATTATTGTCAATTGGGATTTTACTGCCATTATTAA